GGTCAAAAGAACAGTCCGCCCGATGGTACAAAGTCGTTTGCGCCCAAGAAGACAGAAACGATGTCGGCTTCTCGACAACTATTACCTGAATCCAGTGCTGAGGATCCGGATGATCAAGAGTTTCTATCAGATGGTTTTACTAAAGTTGTATCAAAATCGAGTAAGAAGCAAGCTCGCCGAAAGTTACAAATGGAACTTTCAGCAGCGACAGCAGCTTCCACCAACACTACCCAGAAGACTGGATCTCGGCGTACGGATGATAGTAAGTCTTCAACGTCACATTCAAAACTCACAAACGATCGTAGTTCAACGCGAGTAGAACGTTCACCACACTCGTCTACCAGCTTTCGCCCCAAAATCTCGGAGACGACGACCCCTAGTACGCAAACTTTACATAAAGCCAAACCCTTCCCCGTTAAACCCACCTTCATGGGACCTCCGGTTTGTTTGACCAATGGTAGGGTGCAAACCAGTGACACAAACGAACCCCCGTCGGGAATCATAAGCACAGAGTCCGCATCTGGCGACAGCCCATCTGTGAAGAACCAATCTGTTTCTGCAGCTCAACTTGGTTCAGGCAACAGTGTTCATGTAGTCCCAGCGAACAACGGGACCCCAGGGAGGACTTGGTCTAAAGTGGTTGGAACAAAAGCGCCTCCGACATCCGCAGCAACTGTAAAGGAAAGTGTCCCTGAAAAACCTGAGCAAAAGCCTGATTCAATGTGGTCTGCTAAACGTCATGGAACTGAACAACGTACCGATAATTCGATCACGACAGCAACTACCACAAGCGATTCTTGTAAGAAGTCTGTTGGTGTAACAGAGCCATTGAAGCCTATTTGGTCTTCGCCGTCTTCCAGTGAAGAAAAAGGTACTCATAGGAAAACAGCTCAGGACAGTACGGCGGATCGAACTAATGACAGCGGTCCTTCTGTTAGCAACTGCAACACCGCTGTAGTTATGACAACTACTGCCACCTCTCTTGCCAACTCTACTGCCGTGACTAATGTCTGTAAAGTGCGGCCACAGCAACAACAACCGTCACCTCAAGTGGGATCGTCCAATGTTCTAACCAACGTGGCGAACGTCTCAACGTCCAACGTCACTCCTTTGAGCCCCATAAACGGTGGACAAGAACAGCCAACTACCATCGGTCTTTGTAGCAGCGATCTAACTAACATAGAGAGTGAACGACTGGACTGCAACTTCGATGTCCCTTCACAGAATCGGGGTTCTGCTCGACAGATGGAGGAAGTCTCTGGTTCTTCTCTCCTCTCTACTCGACCCGTGCAGACTGCTTGGGGAGAAGGTTTACATGCGCCAATCGCTGGTAGCTACTTTGAAAGTAGAGTAGGATCATCCACTTATGAAAACCCATTTTCGGTTAACAGCTGGTCAGTTGCGGACATGGATCCGACGCGCGCGGCCAATGTACCCCAA